CGACCCTTTTTATTTCTTATTTTGAGAAAGGGTCTTGCTAAATTGCTCAGGCTGAACTCAAACTTTCAATTCTCCTGCCTCAGCCTTCTGGGCACTGGAATTATAAGCGTGTGCCACCACACCCAGTGGTTATTATTATTATTTTTAATACTTTTTAGTTGTCAATGGAACTTTATTTATTTATATATGGTGCTGAGAATCGAACCCAGTGCTTTTCACATGCTAGGCAAGCGCTCCACCACTGAGCCCAACTCCAGCCCCTATTTTTTTTAAAGGATTGTTTAAAAAAAAAAAGAATATGTGGCAAGAACACACATAGTCTGCAAAGCCCAAAATATGTACCATAAGGTCTTTCACAGAAGTTTTTCGACCTTTAAAAAGCCTGGGCCAGCAGAGCTCTTGCTCTGTGCCTGTGAGGAACAGTGGTGTGCTTTGTGGTCTGTAGGGGGACCGAGAAAGGAACATTTGAACCTTTGGGACTCAGGTTTATTTCTAATGCAGAACTAAATACATAATGCCCTCTTCAGTGACTTTCAACTTTAGGGTGGGGCTAGTCTTTTTTGTGCATCACCTCCTTCCTTGGTTCTCCTGGCCCTTAGCAAAAAACGTACCCCTGGATTCTGTTGACTTCTATCATGATATCCTAGGTGCTTTTCTTTTCCTTCCAGCCCTACTTCTGTTGAATTATCTTCTTTTTAGTACTGAAGATTGAACCCAGGGGAACTTTACCACTGAGCTACATCGTCAGCCCTTTTTGAGATAGGAGCTCACTTAATTGCTGAGGCTGGCCTTGAACTTGTGATACTCTTGCCTCAGTCTTTGGAGTTGCTGGGATTGATGATAGGCATGTGCTACTGTGCACAGCACTAAATTGTCTTTTGAGATCAAGACTTGGTTTCAAGTCAACACATAGTAGGACCAGTGAATAACTAGGCAAATCGATTTTATTAGTTGATTAGTCCTCACTGAAGCTGCAATATTGATCTATGTTATAGAACTTCTTTTTTGGGGTCGGGGAGGCTGGGTCTGAACCCAGGGTTACTCTACCACTGACTTACATCTTCTATCCTTTTACTTTTTATTTTGAGAAAGGATATAACCAAGTTGCCTAGGTCCTCACTGTTGTTGAGGCTGGCCTCAAACTTATATTTTTACCTCAGCCTCCTGAGTCCCTGGGATTATACACATGCACCACTGTGCCCTGCTCATAGTACTGTTTTTGTGGGGTTTTTGCTTTGTTGTTGACAGCGCTGGGGATTGAACCTAAGACCTCGTGCTTTCTAGGCAAGCACTTTTACCTCTAAGCTACATCTGCAGCCTGAACTATTTCTACCTGTACAAATTAATTATAATAAAATACCCTTGGATAAGTTCTGAGATAGAGCTAATTGTTCCTGTAGTAAATTGTCTGAAATCTGTGATACTCAACAAATTTCACAGACTTTGTGGCTCTTGAAATAGGAAGAGGGATATGCTTTCTGGGTGTGCCTGTATATGTGCTAGTTAGGAAATGTTGGGAATATTTCACATACATTATGTCATAAATTCTCATGCACCTGAAAGAAGTAGTTTGTCAGGCTGGGATTGTAGCTCAGTGGTAGAGCACTTGCCTAGCACATGTGAGGCACTGGGTTCAACTCTCACCACCGCATTAAAACAAAAAGGTATTATGTCCATCTACAACTAAAATATTTTTTAAAAAAAGAAGAGGAGGAAGAAGATGTAGTAGTAGTTTGGTTAGTTGAGAGGTTAGGAGTGAGGACTCTAGGGACTACCACTGATGGTAATGGTAGAGCGMTTGCCTTGTACAAGTGAGGCACTTGGTCCTATCCTTAGCACCACATAAAAATACAAAAGTATTGTGTCCATCTATAACTAAAAAAAAAAAAAATTATTAAAAAAAAAAAGAATGAGGACTCTAGAATCAGACTGCCTGGGTACAAATCTAACCTCTGCTTTGGCTTCCTTATGGGTAAAATGGGGATAACAGGGCCGGGCATGATGGTGCATGCCTGTAATTCCAGGGGCTCAGGAGACTGAGGCAGGAGGATCATGGGTTCAAAGCCAGCTTCAGTAACGGTGAGGCACTAGACAACTCATTAGACCCTGTCTCTAAATAAAATACAAAATAGGGCTGGGGATGTTGCTCAGTGGTCGCGTTCCCCTGAGTTCAATCCCCAGTACCCCCCCCCAAAAAAAAAATTTATCTCCCAGGATTGCTGCAAGGATCAAATAATTTAATGTCTTCAAAGGCTGCAAATAGTGCCTGGCAAAGATAATAAATATTAACTCTTTTTACTATTGCTACTGCTACTACTTGTGCTATCCATTTTTTGCATGTACTGATATTAAGTAGTGGACCCTTGATTAATAAGAAACAAGGCCTTTGAGGTGCTTGTAAAACTAGTTTTTGCATTAAAGAATGATTTGGGTGCTGAGGTTGTAGCTCAGTGGCTGAGCGCTTGCCTGGCATGTGTGAGGCACTGGGTTCAATCCTCAGCACCACGTAAAAATAAACAAATAAAATAAAGGCATTCTGTACATCTACAAAAAGAAAGGAAGAAATAAATATGTAAGTTTTGCACATTGTGAAGGCTGCTTTTTTGGAAAGCGTGTGGCATTATGTATCAAACTGGGGATTGAACCCAAAGGTGGTTGTACATGATGTGAATAAAAGGTTATAACAGAGCAAGTGTGTGTGTGTGTGTGTATGTATGTGTGTGCGTTTGTGCGTGCACATGACGTGTAATTTGAGCCACATCCCCCAGTCTTTTTAATTTTTTGAGACAGTATCTCACTGAGTTGCTAAGGGATTCTCCTGCCTCAGCCTCCCAATTTGCTGGGACTTATAGGCATGTTCCATCTTGTCTACAACTGTTCTTATTTAATCTGGTAATTTGAGTTTCCAGAATCTGGGATTTATAAAAGGTATAGGGAAAATAATGCCCAGTACTGGGGGTATAGTTCAGTGGCAGACTGCCTGGTTAGCATGGCTGAGGCTGTGTTGGTTTGATCCCCAGAACCAAAAAAGAGAAATAAGGGGTTAGGATTGTGGCTCAGCGGTAGAGCGCTCGCCTAGCATGGGTAGGACCTCGGTTCGATCCTCAGCACCACATAAAAATAAAGGCATTGTGTTGTGTCCATCTATACCTAAAAAAAATAAATATTAAAAAAAAGGAAAGAAAGAATAAAATAATGTACAAAAGGGTTTGTAACATTTATGGTTAAATATGGAGAATTAGGAAAACTAAATTTTCTTGGATGCTTCATTGAGTAGGCCCACAGAATGGAATGTGATCATGATGAAGACCAGAAATGTGTGGAGATATCTGTGCTGTGATATTAGGCAGATAAACCACAGGTATATACAGAACTCTATTTTAAGAAAGCTATAAACTGGGCCAGTTGGAGTTTGGGAATGGAAAAGATGGGAAGGATAATTGAAGTTTCCTTGGGGCAGAAACTACAGGTTTATTTCTCTCTCTTGCCTCTCCTTGCCATGACCCTCTCTTTGGGGGGGAAGGATGGACAGTGCTGGTGATCAAACTGTGGTTGCACTCTTGGCACTGAACTACATCCCCAGCTGGTACTTTGCTTTTGTAGCTGGCTCTGGGAGTGCTTTCTACAAGGCATTTAGCAAATATATACATGTTGAATCTGTAAGCCAAATAAAGGTGGTGGTGCTTGTGGACTAATGCTTACCTAAGAGTTAGAGTTCTTGGCTTGTGAATTTTGCAGTGAAACTTTCAAAGGTGTTCATTTCGTTTTGTTTTGTTGTTTGTGTCAGGTTTTCACTATGTTGACCAGCCTGGTCAAATTTCTGAGCTGAAGTGATCCTCCTGTCTCAGAGTCCCATGTAGCTGGGACTACAGGCATGTGCCACCACACCTGGCACAGGTGTTCGTTTTTAAAGATCAGATGATGGGCTGGGGTTGTAGCTCAGTGATAGAGCACTTGCCTAGCATGCGTTTGAGGCAGTGGGTTCAATCCCCAGCACCACATTAAAAAAAAAAAACTAAATAAACAAAATAAAAGTATTGTTTCCATCTACAACTAAAAAATATTTTTAAAAAATAAGGATTAGGGCCTGGGGATGTGGCTTAAGCTGTGGCGGGCTCGCCTGGCATGCATGTGGCCTGGGTTCGATCCTCAGCACCACATACAAACAAAGATGTTGTGTCCCGAAAACTAAAAAATAAATATTAAAAAAATTCTCTCTCTCTCTCTCTCTCTCTCTCTCTCTCTCTCTCTCTCTCTCTCAAAATAAATAAATATTAGGTGATAATTCCTTTTTTGTTTTGTTTCGGGGATTGAACTCGGGCACTCAGCCCCTGAGCTGCTTAGGTCCTTGCTTTTGCTGAGGCTTGTTTTGAACTCGCAGTCCTCCTGCCTCAGCCTCCTGAGCCACTGGAATTATAGGCATATGCTACCATGCCCAGCTAGGTGATAATTCTTCTACAAGATGGGATATGTAGCTTTTTTTTTTTTTTATTTGAAAAGCATATAAGCCCTTTTCTGGAGACAGAGGTCTTTGTCATCATCTTTTTGTGTGTCCAGGGAAGTGTGCAGGATGTGAGCCATTAGATTAGGGCTGGGAGGAAGAGTATGTGATGATTGTGACAGTGAAGTATATTTTTACATAATTACACATACATGGAGTATAACTTATTCTAATTAGGATCCCATTCTTGTGGTTATACATGATGTGAACAAAAGGTTCTTATAAAATAGAGTTTGTATGTGTATGCTTATGACATGTAATTTGAAAAGCCATATTCAGAATATTAAATTTCATTACAATAAAGACTGTAGAAAGTACAATATAACAGAACCTTCTTAACTACTGGGACTTTAGAGAGGGAATTACTCATTACAGAGAAGAGTGGCTTATTAAATTTGACAGACACTAGTATAGAGTAAGATTTTTGTCTACAGTGATATATTTATTCTTTCTCTCTCTCTCTCTCTCTCTCTCTCTCTCTCTCTCTCTCTCTCTCAAGGTATCCAAGCCCGCCAATGGGATCTGTCTCAGCGCCCAACCTGCCTACAGCAGAAGAAAATCTGGAATATGTACGAACTCTATATGATTTTCCTGGGAATGATGCCGAAGACCTGCCCTTTAAAAAGGGTGAGATCCTGGTGATAATAGAAAAGCCTGAAGAACAGTGGTGGAGTGCCCGGAACAAGGATGGCCGGGTTGGGATGATTCCTGTCCCCTATGTTGAAAAGCTTGTGAGATCCTCACCACATGGAAAGCATGGAAATAGGAATTCCAACAGTTATGGCATCCCAGAACCTGCTCATGCATATGCTCAACCTCAGACTACAACTCCTCTACCTGCAGTTTCCAGTACTTCTGGGGCAGCGATCAACCCTTTGCCATCCACACAGAATGGACCTGTCTTTGCAAAAGCAATCCAGAAAAGAGTACCCTGTGCTTATGACAAGACTGCTTTGGCACTAGAGGTAAAATATATTAAGTTTGATCTTATGGATCCTTTGACATTGGGTGTTTTTGTTTTTGTTTTTGGTACTAGGGATTAAAATCCAGATGGGTGCTGAACCACTGAGCCATATCCAGCCCATTTTATTTTAATTTTGAGACAGGGTCTTGCTAAATTGCTGGCTTTGAATTTACAATCCTCTTGCCTCAGCCTCCTGAGAGTCACTGGGATTATAGACATGCGCCACTGCCCCTGGTTTAATTTAGATTCTTTTTTTTTGGAATCCGGGATTGAACTTCGGGACACTCAACCACTAAGCCATATCCCCAGCCTTTTTTTATATTTTATTTATTTATTTATTTATTTATTTTTTWAAAGATCTTTATTTTTTTTTAAAGTAAGAGTGAGAGAGAGTGAGAAAGAGGGAGAGAGAGAGAGAACCTTAATATTTATTTTTCAGTATTTGGCGGACACAGCATCTTTGTCTGTATGTGGTGCTGAGGATCGAACCCGGGCCGCACGCATGCCAGGCGAGCGCGCTACCACTTGAGCCACATCCCCAGCCCTTTATATTTTATTTAGAGACAGGGTTCACTGAGTTGCTTAGTGCCTGGTTTTTGCGAAGGCTGGCTTTGAACTCACTGATCCTCCTGCCTCAGCCTCCTGAACCCTTAGAATTACAGGCATATGCCACCTCTGCTCAATTAAGATTATATTCATGAGAATTAAAGAACTGGGTGATTCTGGAAGATGCATGGTTAGTGTTTCTCCCAGATTCTTGTTTCCTGTTCCTTGTTTCTCCCAGATTCTTAACCTACTTGCTCTTTTTTTTCTGCTCCCCAAGCTTTATAGATTTAGTCTCACAGTAGTTGGTTTTCTTTGCATAAGGAAATTTGATAATTAGATAGAACCCCATTACCTAGAGCAAAATCAGTATACAGATACATAGCCACTTGGTTGGATCAATATTTCTAACATTTGGCTGGATGCCATGGTGTACCCCTGTAATCTCAGTGATCTGGAATACTGAAGCAGGAGGATTGCAAGTTCAAGGCCAGCCTCAGCAATTTAGCAAGGCTCTAAGCAATTTAGTGAGACCCTTTTGCAAAATAAAAAAATAAAAAGGGCTGAGAACTTAGCTTAGTGGTAAAGCACCCCTGGCTCAATCCCCAGTACAGAAAAGATTTTCTAACATTGTGATTAGCTGAGAAATATGAATAAATATCTTTGATTCTGTCTTCAGTTAGGCAGAGGAATGGTTTAAAAATATATCATTCTTCAGGCTGGGGATGTAGCTCAGTGATAAGAGTACTTGCCTAGCCTGTGTTAGGGGCTTCAATCCCCAGCATTGTAAAAACCAAACAAAATATGTGAGACCTAAATATTTATTGCTTGTTAAAGATTTTATAATTTATAGCAGGAAATAGAACTTGAACATTTTAATTACTGAGTCATTTTCTAAGTAAATATTAACTGCTATTTATTTTGCTTATTTATGGTGCTGGGGGCTGAGTCCAGGGCCTCACACAACAAGTAGTCCACTACTGAGTACACTCCTAGCCCACATTAAGTACCTTTTCAAAAAGACTTCTAGCTGGGCGTGGTGGCACATGCCTATAAACCCAGTGATTTGGGAGGCTGAGATAGGAGAGTCAAAAAGTCGAGGCCAGTCTCAGCAACTTAGTGAAGCCCTGTTTCAGAATACAAAATAAATAGGGGTGGGGGTATAGCTCAGTGGTAAAGTGCCCTCTGTTCACTCTCCAGTATCAAAAAGATTAAAAGATGATAATAAAGACTTCTGCAGCAGTGACACATGCCTGTAATCCCAGCAACTCTAGAGGCTAAAGCAGGAAGATTCCAAGTTGGAGGCCAGCCTGGTAAACTTAGCAAAATCCTGTCTCAAAATAAAAAAGGACTGGGGATATAGATACAGATCAGTGATAGAATGCCTTTGGATTCAGTGCTCAGTACCACAAAAAAACAAAAAGGGTGAGGGGAGGTTAGATGTCAGAATTCCCAGGTCTTTCATATAGTGTTTACCTGAGGGAGATCTTTACACCCCTGAGCTTCTCTGCCTTTACCTATAAAATGCAAATTACTATAAAATAATGTATGCAAATTGCTATTATTGCTATCCTCAGTAGGCTGTTGTAAAGACCACATAAAATGATGCTTGTGAAAATGTTGTGTAAATCAAAATGTTCCTGTATACACACACACACACACATACACATACACATACACACACACACACACACACACACATAAATCATTATGGTATGATTATAATGAGTGCTCTTCTTTAGCATTATCAAATTACGTATGTGTTAGAGAAATAGATTGTTAGTAACTATTCCCTGTGTATTCATTTGAAGGTCAAAGTAGGGAAGGGTTCAGAGAGTCCTGGTGCATCACAGTAGGGTAATATAATGGAGCCAGTCACTTCAAGAAAGCAAAAGTTAAACCACAATTCAGTCTGCATACAGAAAAAGTTAGCTATAATTTGTTTTATGTGTATTTTTCCATTGGTTGTCCTCAATTTTCTGTGGAGCATTAGTAATGTCTGAGTGAACTATACCTGAAACTTTGTTTCAGGTTCAGTGATTATAGCCCTCTCACTGTTGGCTGTAAGGAATGAACAAGYAGCAGGGATCAGAGACTGGGAAGGACCAAGGGAAGAACAGGAAAGAATCTAAAACAAGCTGCTTCCACACAGATAGTCCTGAGCGGGCCTTCTTCAGCTTTCTTACCCCCACATAGACCTGTCTTTATATACATGTATACCTCTGGCCTGGTCCACATTTCATAACCTTTGAATATATGGATGCACTTGACACTATTTAATACCTTCCAGTTTGCTTTGTGGTTTCAGCTTTTTGAGGCATTTTCACATCTCTCATTTTAGCATGGGATTCGTAGTAGGTGTGACTTGTGTGTTAGACTGCTGATTGTTGGCATACTAGGGTGAGAACCTTGAGGTTTGAGGTGCTCAGTCAGAATTTTATGCACAAGGGTGTTGTAGGGATGAAAACCAGATATTGTCAAAATCTAAACCTTGATGAGTAGGTAGGTAGGTATCTAAGAGGTCCAGAAGTGAGAGCCTGATTAATAGTGTATATATTTTTTTTAAAGAGAGAGAGAGAGAGGAGAGAGGGAGAGAGAGAGAATTTTTAATATTTATTTTTTAGTTTTTGGCGGACACAACATCTTTGTTGGTATGTGGTGCTGAGGATCGAACCTGGGCGGCACGCATGCTAGGCGAGCGTGCTACTGCTTGAGCCACATCCCCAGCCCAAATAGTGTATATTTTAAGATAACCCACATACTTGGCCTTACACAGCTCTTCTAGTCTCTCAAACCTGAGAGAGATCTCCACACCTGTGTCCTTATGACACCTAATCATGCAAGTTTTATAAGGGGCCACAGTGTTTCACCGAGTGTAAATGGGATCCAAGAAGTAGTCTTTTGCCACACTCCACTTAATGGTATTTTTCTGTATCTTTAAATGAGATTTGGCTATAACAAATGTTTCTATAATTATGTTATCTTCTACAACTATGAGGATAGTGATGTCTCTCAGATCCTGTTTAAAACAACTTTCTTGGGAACGGATGCAATTAGGTTACCAGGAAAAGTATTAAAATGAAAATGAGTAACAGTGACACAAGTAGGACAAAATGTGCCAATAATTGAAGCTTCCTTATTCCCTTGATAAAGAAGAACAATGGCTTAGGTGAACTGTATTCCTTGAATTATTTCACAAACTTTTTTTTTTCCCCACAAAACTCGACTCTTGTAAGAATCTTCCTTCAAATAGTGAGTGATTTAAAAACGGGTCTGTGTTTAGCCATTTTCTTTCTTCTTCTTCTTTTTTTTTTTTTTTTTTGCTGCTTTTCAAGAAATGAGTTGATCCAGTTATTTATTTATTTGAAAGGGAAGTCATGATGACCTGTGTAAGGTAAATTGAGGTGGGCGTCTTACATACTAATCCCAGCGACTCAGAAGGCTGAGGCAGTAGGATTGCAAATTTAAGGCCAACCTCAACAACTTAGGCCTTAGGCAACTTAGTGAGACCCTACTTCAAAATAAAAACATAAAAAGGGGATCATTGACCAGCAGAAAATGCTTGGAGGAAGGATGCTGTTGTTGTTTTTAAAACAAACCCAATAAAAAAACAAAACTGTAGTCAAAGTTGCGTTCCCTGACACTGAAGAAACAAGGTGATTAGGGAGATATTGTGGAACTGTGTTCAAGTCCTGGCTCTTACTTGTGTAATCTTGAGCAAATTATGTATAAGGCTAACGTAACATATTTGTTGGTTGGTACCAGGGATTGAACCCAGGGGCACTTTACCACTGAGCCACATCCCCAGTCCTTTTTTATATTTTATTTAGAGACAGGGTCTTGCTGAGTTGCTTAGGGTCTCATGAAATTTCTGAGGACGGCTTTGAACTCTTAATTCTCCTGCCTCCTGAGCTGCTGGGATTATAGGCATGTTCCACAGTGCCTGGCTTGAAGTGAGTTTTGAAGGATGAATAGAGGCTAGCTGGGTAAAGTGGGGGAAGGCATTGCTGGGAGGGAAGAGCTTGCATGAAAGTGATTAACACCACTGAGTATCTGCAAGTAGGTCAGCACATTTGGGCATGCCTGGCAAAGGCCAGAAGTAGCAAAAGACAAAGCAAGGAAAAGTGGGCTTTTGCCATACCACACGAGCTGAGGAGATAACAACTTTCTTGTAATGCCTTCATTTGAGAGATAAAGCCACCAGTTTCCCACAACTGATGGAAATTCCGAAATTTGTAGGCAGTTTGCCTTTTTTTTTTATATTTATTTTTTAGTTGTACACAATACCTTTTATTTTATTTCTCTATTTTCATGTGGTGCTGAGGATCGAACCCAGGGCCTCGTACATGCTAGGTAAGCGCTCTACCACTGAGCCACAACCCCAGCCCTGGCAGTTTGCCCTTTTTATTGATTGATTTTTAAATTTACAGCAGATCCTTGGTTTCCCTGTAATAATAT